TACGTTGACATAGGAACATCCAGCAAGGCCTAGTACAGAAATTCCAGCACATCTGGAGACCCTTACTGAACGATAGCAGCAGTGAACGCCAAGGGAATAAGTAGAGAGAGAGGTCCCATGACTGAGCTTTGGGGAACACCTCGTCCCCCTATGTAATGGTTCTGTGTCACGATCACTAATAGGATAGAGAAGCTGGAGGTTCTATGCCATACGTTGTCAACTCTTCCAGCATTGGTTCCAGCTCTGTGTCATTGAAAATAAAATGCCAGCGGTAGCTGTAAAACTTGATGATGGTTTTCAAGGCCATGGAGTCTTCAAGATTAATAAGAGCCAAATCATTGACAGAGGAGGTCCATGAGGGTGGTGGTGGTGGTGGTTGCTGTTGTTTCTCCTTCGTTCTCGAAGAGGACCATGACGTCGGGGGATGATGCCATGACATGCAAGTGAGTTAGATTTAAGTGAGGCAGGGCTGTGCAAAGCCACTGGCCTCGCTTTCTCCTCTGGAACCATTGGTGTCCAGTGACCAGATAGAGATGGGGCAACTGGAGATGGCCCTCAGTGAGGTTGGAATGCTCTCTTGAAAAATAAAATGAATGCCTAGCCATTCTCCATGACCTCAGAATATTGAAATCCAGAATATCTTCTCTGGTGATCCTGAAGTAGTCATCATGTCCTCCCTGGTCTTGTTATAGGATTCCAGTGCCCTGGGTTAGTATTGAGTTGCTCTGATATATGTCACTGTAGGGATTGATAATACAGAACATTTTGGCAGTTTCTTGAAATTATAGGTGTTAATATCCTGGCTCAGAACACAGTCCACCAGCTTGGTTACCAAGTAGGCATTAGAGAAAATCGTCATGAAAGATTTGGTGAGAAGAGTGGGATTGGCTCCTCCTGCCAGGTCTTTCTGTGAGCGTTTGACTTAGAATCCTGTCTCCCTGGCAGTAACTGTGCCAGTACCAGACCAGAGCTGGTGGTGAGGGGGCTCCCCAGCCAGTGGCTGTCCTGCCTGGGCCCACGCTCAGAGCATGGGACAGCAAAGAGAAAACAAACCAGCTCCGTGTGGTGCTCACGGGGACTTAAGGTGTTGGGGACTGTAACCGGCAAGACCTGGAGACTTGAATAACAATAATAATAGTGACGATAGCTGACATTTCTATAGCGCTTTGAGGTTTTCAAAGTCCCGTTGGTGCCTCGAAACAGCCCTGTAAAGTAGGTAAAGTACATACTATCCCTGCTTTTACAGATGGGGAAACTGGCTGAGAGGTTGTGACTTGTCTGTGGTCTCACAGCTATTAAGTAGCATCTCTTCCTAATGCCCACAAAGGCATCGGGCACCTCTGTCATGGAGGAGATAGACTCCTGAATCGATCTCTGCAGAAGAGAAAGCCTTCTTTGGCTGACACCCAGGTGGGTTCCATTTCTTCTTGGAGTCTCGGCAAACCTTGGGCAATCATGGGAGGAGATCAGACTACCAGGAAGCACCCCACAGAACCTAGCTCTTTTTATATCTTCTTAAACAGAGTACTGGGTGTTTGTGTGTATATGAATATATGTGTGTATGCATGCCAGAAAACATACTTTTTAATTGTACAGACCACAAATAACTAAATTGGCAGCATGAAGGTAGGGAAAGCTAAAGAATGAATAAGAAATTGGGCTGTGTTAGAGTAGCTGTATCCTAGGGATTCCTCTTGTAAGGCATCAGCCTCACCTAAGCCCAAGTGTTGGGTTAACTCCATGTACAAGAATGTGACACTTGATACTAAAAATAGCCCCCATGGGCAAGTGAATGAAGAATGTTTGCCACTCCAGTCACCTAGTACTTAACAGGCCACAGGTTTTCTCAGGAGGGATCCCAGAATGAGGCCTGCTCACATCTCCCTGAAACTTGTACTGGGTAATGTGTTCAAAGACGTCCTTTAGGTGTCTCCCAAGGAAGCAGGAGGCCCCGAGGAGGACTTTTCTTAGGGTAAACATCAGGGAAAATTCCTCTTCTAAGTAGATCTAATTTCTTCCTCAAAGGGAACTTTGAGAGGAAGTAAATAAAGTCAAAAACCTGCCAAAGAGGTGGCTTCCAGGAGATGGATTTTTCAAATGTAGGTGCTAATGAAATAAACTAGCGTAGACTCCTCAGGAATGCATGGTTGGACCACTTTTCATGTCTCTAACATCTGTCCCCTTCTCTTTACTCACATGGCCACCCATGTCCCAATCACCTCTTCTCCATGCTGCCGCATCAGCCTCCCAACTAGACTCCAATTCATTCTCCATCTCACTGCCAATGCAGCCTTCAGAAAACCTGTGTGTTGCCCAGCCCGCTTGAGAAGCACTTAGTGCTTCTCTGCTGCCTTTAGGATGCCCACTTCTCAGCTCGGACCCAGCCTGCTGCTCTAGACTCATTGCGTATCAGGCCCCTTCACGTACTCTGCACTCTCAGTCGACTGACTGAATGGGTGACTCCTCAGGTTCATCGCTGCTTTGCCCATCTCCCTGCCTCTGCACAAGGTGGCCCCTGTGCCTGGACTGCATTCAGTCCTCCCCTCTGCCCCTTGGAATCTGGAGCTTTCTTCAGGGCTCAGCTCAGGTGCCGCCATCTGCCCCAAGTCCTTCCTCATCCCTGGGTTGTGAGTGTTCTTTCCTTCCCCCCAGATCATCTTCCACGTGCATATCTCTTTGTGTGCTGTCTTCGTTCCCTGTCCCCAGTACAATAGAAGGTCCTTGAAGGCAAGGACTTTTTCTGGTTTTGTCTTTGTAGCCCCAGCATTTAGTCAAGCAGCTGGTGCCTCATTAAGGGCGTATTGTCTTTTTAGAGTGTAGCACTCGGTTGGTGGTCATGTACATTCTTCATATGTGATGCAGAGATAAAATCCCAGCAGGATGGAGCCTCCAGGGTAGAAGAGTTTTGTGGTAAAAGAAGCCAAAGTACCAATTCTGCTGGGCCTGTATGTCTGGGATCTGCTCTGCTTTGAAGGTCATTATGTTATACTGGGACATAAGCCCCATCCCCGCATCAGAAGTACAGCTGCACTTCTAACTCCAGACTTACTCGTGTTCCTTTGACCCTGGTCCCTCTCTTTTCTCCTCCTTGCCTAGCTGCCAAATTTCCTCTGTCTCCTCATTCTAAAATCTACTCATTGTGCTTCACTTGTGGGGCTTGAGGGAGTGTAGCATAAAGCATTGGGTTAAGGTAAAATAAAAGCCCTGTCCATCGCACATTTATGCTCCATATCCACATTTATTAGGAAGAACAGGAGGCATGATTGAGGGGGGAGTCACACAGATATGGTTTATATTCTTGTTGCATATGAAGGACCGGTATGTCAAGATCTTACACACCCTACTTCATAGAATCCAGTGAAACTCTATAGAAATTGCTTGTGCGAAGACCCAGAGAGCAAGAGAGAGTCTCTTGAGTAAGGAGCACAGACAACCTCAGTTGGAGTGCAGAAGGAAGAGCACTGTCTAGGAGACTGGAAAGCTAGGTTGGGACCAGGTCTCATGGGGCTCTCAGAACTGAACAGAGCAATTTACATTTTATCCTAGAGAGAGTAGAAAGCCATTAGAGTTGGTTGATTAAGGGAGTCCGTGGTCAGATCTATATTTAGGGGAAATTCTTGGACAGCTGTGTGTAGGCTGGTCTAAATTGGAGAGACCCTTGAGGGAGGGAGACCCATTAGGAGGCTGTTGAACAAATGAGGGATTGGATCAAGATAGTAACCGTGCCACTGGAGAGAAGGGGGTCAGATACAAGGTGTTGGGAACTTGATCTGGCAGCTGATTGGAAGGAGTGAGGAGTCCAGGGTGAAGCCAAGATAATGAACCCAAAACACTGGAAGGATCAGGGTGACTGTGACAGGAATAGGGAAGGGCTTAGCAGGAGAGATCACAAGTTTAGTTTAAGACATCTTGAGTTTAAGATGCCTCTGGGACATCCAGTTTGAAATGTCCAAAAGACAATTGATGATCATAAAGGGAGTGGTTAAGAACTGGTGAGGTTATAGAGAAGAGAAGAGAGCCCAGGACAGACACATGGAGAATACCCACATGCTAAGGCACACGATGGAGATATGATGAGCCAACAATATAGGACTGATAAGGAGCTATTAGGTAGGTAGGAGGAGAACCAGAAGTGTCCTGAAAACCCGGAGAGGAAGGAGTGTCCAGGAGGGTGGTCAGCAGTGCTGAGGTAGGAAGGCAGGCTGCAGAGCTGAGGAGTAATTGGGAGGAAAGGTAGTAAAGGCAACAGGTGTAGACAGCTTTTTTAAGGAGTTTGGCTGAGAAAGGGACTGTTTTCTGAATAAAGCTAGGTGTGGGATTCCACAGTACCCAAGAGTAGGAAGTTAGGACTCTCCCTCATTGAGAAGAAAGGAAAAAGATGGTTCTTGACTTCCTCATTTGGTCTTGAAGCTGTCTTCCAGCTCTGTACCAATGATCCCATGAGCCCGGGTAATTTCAACGATGCCAGCATTAGGCAGAAGTTAAACTCTTTTGTGACAAATCTTGCCAATGTTTATAGACTTTATAAGAATCAAATTGTACTACTATAGTTCTTCTTTCTTTGAAAGCAGTGTTAGTAAATGAGTTGCCTCTTTGCCCATCCTAAGTTTGGCAGACATTGGAATTATGGGTCTTACCCCTCTTTCCTTTTTCTCTTCCTCCAATAGCTATAGTAGAGAACTGAATTGCTTTTTGTACGATGCTCAATATTGTTTGCTAAAAAGAGTTTTGTGTTTTAAAAGTAAACAATTGCATGGAATTGTATTTTGTGTTGTATTTCTCTAAGCACAAACTCAGCCAGAGTCTCTGTCTTTGACTTCCTTCCGTAGACCATTGGCCTTCGACAGAAGAAAAGTTCTCCCTCTTTGCAGTAGACATTTGCTTGCCCTAAGGGTATTTATGTTTGTTTGGATTCTGCTTGGGTCCGAGCACCCTGTGCGGGTCCTAGCGCCCTGCGTGTCTCAGTCAGTCTGACCAGCAGCGCTGTTCCCTCTTTCCAGGTACCAGAGGTTTGGAGTGTTCGCCTTCCTCTCCCACCATGAATTCTTACTTTTACAAGTTCATGATCAACTTGCTGAAGAGGTTCAGCAGTGAGCGCAAACTCCTGGAGATCAGAGGAGCCTTCATCATCAGGTCAGCCTGCACCTTCTTCCTTCCTAGGTTCCTGCTTTTCTCCTTCCTGCATCGTCTCCTCCCTCCCTCCACCCCATTCTTTTTCTTACCCGGTGTTTGTGCTTAAAGAACTTCTTCAGCTCCACCTTGAACACCACACCTCGTTGCTAGTGTTGCCTTTTACAAGGCAAGTCAAGGTTGATGTTTCAAAACAAAGAGATTCATTTTTTACATGTTGAGAGACCATATTTTCCCCTCAGGTTAACTATCCTCTTATCAAGCTTTGTTGTCAGATCCTATTTGGTGGGGGAGACAAATGAGCCAGATGGAGCATGAAATGAGGCTGAGCCTAAGGGAGTCAGCCTGCCGAGCCTGGCGGTTTGTCTGGGGTCAGTGGTAGCACTGCCCGGACCAGGCTCTCCTGTTAAGATGAATGTGGCAGCCCCGCCTCATCCGCCGCGGTGTGCGGGGACTGGCCTGACCCGCGGGCTCCAGCACTCTGATCTGAAGAGGGGTTGCTGAGCCTGAGCCTTTGTTTCCCACTTGACTCCGGAATGGGGTCACTGAAGAGCGGCCTGTGACAGCTGGCACAGTGTCACCTTCAGGCCCATTGAATCTAGGGCACAGAAGCAGATTCTGATGGAGTCGCTTAGGGGTGTGTCTCTGGAGAGGCCATGCTGCCCCTGGGTACTGTGGAGAATGGAAGATTTGTTCTGCTCCCTGCCTCATGGGACTCACCACCTAAATGAAAATCCAGGAAGGCATTGCATGATGTAGGATGAAATGCGGAATGTGGGATTCTGTACAGGAAGTGTGAAGCTGCTGCCAGGCAGCCCCAGGAGGCAGAAAGCAGGGTGACCATGGGGAGGATGCTTTGCTTTCCCTCAGACCCCTCTACCCCCGGGGACAACACTGAGGGAGGGAGCTCTGATGACAACCCAGCCGTTCAGTACGACGAGCTTTGTAGAACATCTCCTTTTGTCCAGCTCTTCCTTTCAAGGAATAAAAAAGGAAGGAAGGTGACTGGAAAAAGCAAATCTCATTTGCTCTTGCATGTGAGGCAGGCAGCCTGGTGTAGTGGACAGACCCGAGCCTGAGGGGCTGTGCTTAGTCTCTTCTCTACCCCTTTTTTAGCCATGGGACCTTGAGCAAGTCCCTCTGAGCCTCCTTCTCCTTTCCAGGCCCTGTCACTGTCTCTAACGTCTGCTTTGCCCTTCCTCCTAGTGTTACTGTGAGGAGTAAATGGGACAGTGTCCCTGAAAAGGCTTTGGAGACTGTGATGCCCTATTGACAGGACAGTATGAGAGGGGCCCAGCCTTGTGATAAGAGGGCTGGATGACGTCACTGAGCAGTACTGGGGCTGCTGGTGTGTTGCTTTTTTTCTTAGACTTGGGTTCCTTGAGGCAGGTGAGAACAATGCAGTTCTTGCATTCTCTTCATTCAGCACACATTGACTGAGTGCCTCCCAGGTGCCAGGTCCTGTGCCAGGTGCTAAGGTGCCTCAGCCATCTTGGACACATCCTCATACACATGAGGTGATGTGGCTTCATTTGATGCTTAGGTATCTCAGATATCAAAGGACACGTGACAAGCCCATTTCGGAGAGAGAGAGAGAATCCACAGAGAGCTCACATCTCCTGATTCCTAGGTCCATCTAAGCCAGACCCCAGCACTGACCCAGCCTTGTGCCCAGAGGCCCAGGGCCTCACCTGCCATGCCTGGCTCTTCGTGGACAGCCTTGCTGCTTGTGGTGCCTGACCCCAACATTGGGGCCGTAGCTGCAGAGTCAGTCTGCGTCCACGTTCAGCCCAGTCTGGGACTGAGGTCGAGCACATGCTCTCAGCTACCTCACCCTCAGCCAGCATCACCCCCTGCCTCTCCTGTAGGAGAGGCAGCATGACATGACTTGGTGGATAGCAAGCCTCAAGGAAGGACCTGGGTTCAAGTCCTGCCTCTGATGGGCAAGTCCCTATACCTTTCAGTGTTCTAGGCAGATCTTCAAGATTCTTAAGCTGTGGAGAAGGGGGTGATGATCTGCGTTGGTGGCAGGAATTTCCTCACCTGGGAGCTAGAGAAATCCCGAGCTAAGACAATCCACATTCACTCTGCATCAGCCACCCACAGCACTCATCCCTTAGATGCTGCCATTACCTGATAGCAGCCTTCCTAGTGCCCGTCTCTGATCATCACCTCCTGTCCTTCCATGTCTCCTTCTGCCCTTCAGTCCCATTCCTCCTAAACATATTCTTTGTCTTTGAGGTGCTCTCCAATCCCTCCGTGGCTCCCATCTCACTTTGGTGAGTTTGGCCTTGTGCTAACCAGTCCGTTCTACTCCAGTCTTGACCCCCTGGCCACCTTCTCCTCCTCGGGATAATCCTTGATCCTCCATCACCTCCTCCCTCATCTTCTGCTTGCACTCCCAGGCTGCTGAAAGTTGCCAGGGAAAGCCACATAACCACGTGAGCCACCCGGGCTCTTACTATTGCAGAGAAATCCTTTTGTTCTTTGACTCCCATCATCAATTGTTTGAAACCTCCTCTCTCCTTAAGCCCCCAACATCATCCCTGCTCCCTTCTCTCTCGGCAGATGTCCTTACCTCCTGCTTTAGTAAGAAAAGCAACTCAGTCATTCAGTCAGTAAGCATTCATTAAATGCTTACTTTTTTAAAAAAGCACCTACTGTGAGCCAGGCACTTTGCCAAGTGCTGGGGTTACAGAAGAAAGCAGAAGACAGTCCCTGTCTTTGAAGAGTTCACAGTGTATGGGGGAGATGCCAAGCACACACGTATGTGCAGACAAGCGGTAGACAAGGTGAATGAGAAGGAATTAAAAGATGGAAGGCACTGGGATTGAGAGGGGTCAGGGGCAGCTTCCTGTAGAAGGGGGGATTTTAGCTGGGACTGGAAGGACGCCAGTAGGTGAAGATGAGGAAGGAGAGCAGGGCAGGCATGGAGGACGGCCAGAGAGAATGCCTGGAGCTGAGGGATGGAAGCCCTTGTTCGTGGAGCAGCCAGGAGGCCAAGGTCACTACATCAAAGAGTGTGTGTGGGGAAGACCAGAAAAGTAGAAGGGGCTTGCTTAGGAAAGGCTTTGAATGCCAAGCAGAGCACTTGTGTTTGGTCCTGAAGGCAAAGGGGGCCTCCGGAGGTCACTGAGTAGAAAGGTGACCCGGTGAGACCTGCACTTTGGGATAATCCCTTTGGTGGCTGAATGAAAGTTAGATGGGAGTGCAGAGAGACAGGAGGCAGGCAGACACTCTGTACCAGCCCTAACAGGTTGTTGCAATAATCCAGACCTGAGGGGATGCAGGTTTGCGCCCCTGTAAGGACAGAGACAGAGGAGAAAAGGGGGTGCATTGGAGAGGTGCTTCAGAGGTGAAATCAACAGGCCTTGAAAACAGATTGGGGGGGCGGGGCGGGACAGTGAGGAATCCAGGATGACCTCGGTGCATAGTGAGCCCTCATCCCTTGGCTCTGGGCCTCAAAGCCCTCCTCATCTCCACCTACCTTCTGTGCCTTCGTTCCAATTCCTGAAACAGAGGTGGCCCTTCTCCTTTTGAAGACCGTCCCCTCTGCGTGTACCCCTGCAGCTTGCCCCATCAGCTGTCCTCACCCTGGAATCTGCAGTCTCTGCGCTGCTGACTCCTTCCCCAAGCCTGCAAACCTTCTTAGGTTTATACAGTCTTGACCCTGAACGTACCTTCTTGTATTTCATCTCCACAGGTGGCTTTTTACTCCTAGGGTCTTCAAAAGAATCCTCTATACTCACGGCCTCTATTTCCTCACCTTCACTCACTTCCTAAATACTTACAGTCTGGTTTCTAGTCCCACTACTGCACTGAAACTGCCGTTCCCAGGATTCCCAATAATCTCTTATCTCCACTTTCACTGGCCTTTTCTTTGCCCTTATCCTCCTGGACCCTCTTTGACTTTAACACTGTTGACCATCACTTCGGCCTCAGTGCCCTCTCCTGCAGTTCCGTTCCTCACACTGCTCTGTCCAGACTGTCCCTTCCTCTAGATCATGACCTGCCCGATGTCCCCCCAGGGCTCTGTCCTGGCATGCCTTCTTTCTCTCCACGTGCTCCCTTAGGCATCTTAACTGCCCTTATGGATTCCAGTTTCATATCTATGCAGATGACTCCAAAATCCATCTGTCTAATCCCGTCCTTTCTCCTGAACCCTAGCCCCACATTGTCAGCTCTGTGCCGCTCATTACCTCATGGAAGCCCTTAAGCTTCTTATCCTATCACAAATGGAAGCCTTCACGTTCCCTCCTACACCAGGCCATCTTCTAAGCTGCCTCACTTTTGTTGAGAACGCAGCTAGCCTCCCTGTCACCCCAGTTCATCGCCTTGGAGTCATCCTCGCTCCCCAATCAATCCTAACTCTCAGTTGCTAAGTCTGGTCAATTATGTGTCCGTGTCTCTAAGTCTCCCTCTCTCCATCCTCCTTTCCCCACCCAGCCCCCACTCCATCAGACCCTCATCACCTCTTACCTGGATGACTCCCGTAACAGCCAGGAGGCTTGGCCTCCCGACTGCCAGCCTCTCTGTTCTTCATGCAACTCCCCAAATCTTCCCAGGTCACTGTCCTGTTTGGAAGTCTTCAGCGTCTCCCTACTGCCTCCTCCTTTCCTGGTGCTTAAGGCCCTCTCCAACCTGATTCCACTGCTTTTCTATCCGTGTTTCATGCACTGTCCTTGTGTCCTACTCCACAGCCATCTCCCTTTTCCATGGAGTCACACAGGCTTCTCTGGACTTCTCTCCTCCTCTAAGCTGAAGACTTAGCAAGTCAGAAATAGGAGTTTTAGTGGTAGGAGGAAAGGAAGAAGGCCAGGACTCTCCCTACCATTTTGCTTCTGCATAGATAAGAAGTTAGTAATCTCCAAAACAGACCCAAGCCACAGAATCTGAGGGCTGGAAGGGAGCCCAGAGGCCAGCTCTCCTCTCTGAATAGCTCTCTAACAACTTGTCTTTCAGCCTCTGCTTTAAGAGGAACTCACCACCTGCGGAGGCTGTGC